ACTTCTAACTGTTTAGGGGGATAAAGCATAAAAAATATTGTGATATAATAGCAAGATATTTGAGCCCTAAAATACCAGAATTCATTGTTATAACAAGCAATTCTTTCTCATACAAAATTTGCCACTAAGGAAAGAAAGTAACCTGTCATTGTAAGAATTGATTAAAAACAGATTTTTGGTAAATTTTTATAAACCCGTCCAGCTTTTTTTCCTTCTTTTTAACTTCCTAGTAATATCAATAATACAATGTTTAACTCTAAAGCATTAATTTTTCTTTTGACAGTGAGTTAGCTACAGATTTGTCATCTCCTGACATTGAAGGAATTTACGAATCACAGGTTTGGAACCTTCCTTATTGTTTAGGTTATAAGTGTTTGATATCTTTGGAAGAGTAAATTTCAAGCTTTGCATTGCTTACTTTAATTAATGGCTCATCTCTCAGAAGATGTGCCATCAACAATGGCTTTGGATGTTTCTTGAGGCAACCCAACGTTTTTGCTTTGAATATACAATGCCACATTGCAAGGTGTTCTTTCATCTGTTCATACATTGTAAGGGTTCCAGGAAAGGACTGTTCAAAGTAAGAACAGTATCTTTCCTAATTTGAACAATCATATTGTACTGTAAGTAAGTAAGTATCATGCTGTAATATTATTATTTCCTCTTTTTATTTGTTTAGTTTTTCCCTATGTATATTGTGTTTGTAAATCAATTTAAACAAAATATTTCCTAATTTGACTCAAATTTTAGAATTATGATCTTTTGTATTATCTTCCTAACTTGTGACCTTGATACTTGACTTTTGACATTAATCTTGACTTTTGACTTTAACTCTTGAGTTGTGACCCTTACTTTCAACTTTTAATCTTTACTCTTGACCTTTGACTGTAACTTTTTGTGTTACACATGTCACAACCATGCTTGGGTTTATTCACTCTTTGCTGACTTTGACTCACAAATGAGTTAATGATAGAGCCAAGTATAATTAAATTTGACATTTTTCAACTTTAAGGTGCCACTGTCTATGAGAGCAATAATCAAACTCGGATGTGTTTGTAAAGTGAACAAGATCTTTGCAAAGCTTTTTAATGGCAAGGTCAGTACTGATGTGATTTATGAACTTCATAACATCAGTTATGTTAACAAGATTTAACTAAAGCTGTTAAATTAATTGTCTCTTTTAGGACTTGGACACGTTCGATCTGGACCAACTGGAGTTCAAGACTCTTGCAGAATGTTCTTACATGGAAAATGCGAATCTCAAGAGAATGTATTTCTACCACAGCTCCTCGTAAGTTTTTGTTTCGGTCCCCTTGTGTAGAGGTCATTGTTTTGGTTTCATTCAGTCTTTTTGTATCACTGAGGATTTGTTTGGAAGTAGTCATTAGAATGTATGATGAGCTAAATTTAAGGGCTGCCTTCATTAGAGGTTACAGTTTGCAAAGTTTACGGCTGCATGCGTCAAGAGTTGTTTTTCTGTTTAGTAGTCATGCAGTGAATTGTCATCAGACTACAAACTCCTGATATCTCTTCAGCTGATTTTTTTTTTTGCTCAATTATCACTTTTGCAACCAAAAAGCAACCAACATTGCTACCAGGCAATTTTCATTCTGAATTCAATGTGATTTATTTCAAGCCATTCTATGGATATGCCTTTGTGAACATTACTCAGGTTTGATATTGGTATTAATTTATTTATTTTCATTGACATTATTATCTTGCCGGTATCTTTTGCAGAGATAATCGTGTTATACTTGCTATCTTTGTCCCTGCTTCTCGCAAGGTGAGGTTCAGTATAAACATAATAAATGA